TCTAATCAGGAATGTTTCCAGACCAGGCCAGCTTGGCCTGACCACTGACAAGAGTGGAGATGCTAGAACAAAAATTGGGACATGGAAAAAGGTGAGTACCAAGGACTGGAGAACTGCCAGATGATTGGGGGTCGAATGAACATTTTATGGAAACCATCTTGCAAGAAAAGTTAAATCACTTTTGAGTCAGTAACCTGACGCTTCTTGCTGATGGTCTCAGAACTTGGAGAAGCAGCGTGGTATGGGGGGGGGGAAAGGTAGGCTTTGGGAGTTAGATCCACTTGGTTCAAATCCCAGCTATGTGACTTATTGGCTGTAGGGTTCCTCGTCCTTGATTTTTCCCTCTGTCAAATGGGGATAACAACAGCCACCTCATAGGGTTACTGTGAGAATTAAATAGCAAAGGAAGGTACTCAAGGACAATGGGCTTTAGAGGTTGAGAGTCTAGGGTGTGCCACCAATGGTGAGACCTTGAGCAATTTACATAATCTCTGAACTTTAGTTTCTTCACCTGTAAAATAGGATAATAATAGAGACTCCTCAGAGTTGTGCAGAGGATTAAATGGGATGTGACTGGGAAACAGTAAAAACAAGACCTGGACCATAAAAAGGTCTAAGAAGAGACTAGTTACAGGGTGGTGTGACTGTTCCGAGTGTGAGCACTGGATCTTGAGTCCTGTGCCGTGTTTGTCCTGCTTGGGCCATGCACCAGCTGTGTGATCTTGTGTTAGCAATTTCACCTCTTATCTCGATTGCCTCATCTTAAAATGGGGGTGATAATATGTGCCTTGTGGGTTTGGAAAGAAGATTAAATAATATAATGTATGTAAAGTGTTGAGAACAGTACCTGACACCTGGTAAGTGCCCTATAAATGTTAATTATTATTAGTGTTGATTATTCTTATTTCCCTTCCCTGTCCTGGTGTCTGTGGGGTCGTCTGCTGCTATCTAGGCAGAGGGTCTGGATTGAAGGCTGGAGTGAGCACCTCTCTGAACGGGGCTGGCCCAAGGTCTCGGTGGGCCCAGGGCTCTGGCCCGGCTCCTTCATGCGCCTCCTAATTCACAGCCTCTGGCCTCTGGCCCTACCTCTTCAGAGTGGGCCCAGGGGCCTGGGGGCCCCATTTTAGAGCTGGCTTTGCGGTCAGGCAGCCATAATCTGTCCCTCGAGCCACACCAGAGTCTCATTAAAACGTGCCCCATAAATGTTAAAAAATTTACACATAAAAAAATTCCATGCATGAAACTGAAACCGTACGTTTTACAGCCTCTGTTTGAAATCTTGCATAATATATAAAACCGTGGCCCTGCACTGGGGGCCCGTAAATCAGATTTTATAAAACAAAAAGCTTTTACCTTTCAAAGGGGTTTGGGGAACTTGCAAATTTTACAAACTTTACCAACTGCCAGTCAGAGGCTGCTGGGCCCAAGGAGGGACCCCCGGGCCAGCTGAGAAACAGGCCTGGTGAGTCCCCGGTGGCCGTGGGAATGGGAGTGGGGGGCGTGAAGAGTAGCGGAGCCCACCCTGCCCCAAGGGAGCTGGCGAGGGGCATTCCAGCGTGGCCACCGTGAGGGCGGAAAGCCACCCTTATCGCTCGGAAATGGGGAGGTAGAGGGGTCAGAGTGTGGGCGCCAGGGGAGAGGTTTTGATGGCACTACTCTATTTGTAAATGAGGATTTTTGTTGCCACCGGGGAGGAGACTGCTGGAATGAGGTAGCGTAAGGAGCACAATTTCTGGAGTCAGCACACTGGGCTCTGGTCCTGGCAAGTCACTTCCTTGCCCAGACTTACGTCCCCGGCTACAGAATGGTAGGGGACGGGTGAGGAAGACTTGCTGTTCCTGGCGCTGTGTTTTCCCTCCTAACGTTCTGGGATTTCTTTTGCCCCCAGTACCCGTGCGGGTGATGGGGACACAACTGGTCAGCCAGGGAGGGAGGTCCCCTCCGAAATCTACAATCTGGGACCCTCTCTCTCATCCTTGGGGCAGCTCTGGGAGACTGTGGGGTGCAGAGAAGGGTGCTACCTGGCAATCTGCTTGGGGGAGAGGAGGGTGGCTGGCTGGGATGGGAGGATTCTTCGTCCCTGGTAGGTTAGAGGCTGCTGCCACACGGGCTTGGGAGAAGGCAGGGCCCGAGTGGGGCTCCAGGGCCCTGGAAATGGAGGTGAACTTCCAAGGGGCAAAGTTTTGGGGGACCCAAGTGCCTTCCTGACAATCCCACCTATGAAAGTCAATATTCAAGGGCAAAGGAAAGCCTCCCTGACACACATATATATAAAAAATAAATCTCTCAATTATCTCAGCTCATTTGCTTGGGGTCTCTCATTTTATGTCCCTGCTCGGCTGCGCAGTATATCTGTCCGGATAAAGAGTTACAGTCCGTTGGGCTACGTGTGCGGGGTTGTAAAAAATACAGATGCCAAATTAACTGGCTGTGGCACTTGGCAGCTGATTGAGCTGATAATGACGTGATCTGACCTTTTTCTAATTTCTAATTATGTGCATCTCGGCTGTGCTGGCTACATGATTCTTGTTCCAATGATGGCTCCTGTGGTTGGCCTCTTTATCTCCCCCTCACCCGCCAACCCTGACACAGGACAGGGTGGGGGGCTGTGGCAAAGGGAACTGCTTGACTCCCCAAATAAAGTTTCAGGGTTCTGGCCACTCAGTCTCTTTGGCAGTCCCGAGGTGAGGTTGGGAAGCTGGAACAACTTTCAGGAGAGACACTGCATTCAGGATTAACTTTTTGGATGCCAGGCATTGTTACAATCACATGAGATAGGTGCATTAGGTCTACAGATGAGGAAACCGAGCTTCAGTGGAGTTAAGTCATCAAGTCTCACACAGAGTAAGTGGTGAAGCTAGGCTCAGGTCTTTTTCTCTAGGCACGTTGCCAAATCTCTCCATTTACATCATCAATCAATCCATCAATCAATCATCAACTAGTCATTGACCGTGGCTACTAACTCATCTAGACAAATCAGGTCCATCTGAGTAGATGGAATGTCCAAGGATTGCTCACTAGCTGGACCACTCCCAGCCCAGTCACCTGAGATAGAAGGCCAGGGAACACCAGTGGTCTGGGGCCACTAAGGTGGCTTCTACTACATCCATGTCCTTGGCTCAGGCCTGGCACGTGGCAGACAGCCAAGTTCTGTTGGATTGATTCAAGAGATCTGATTCTTTAAATGAACAGAACCCTGAGAGACCCAGGCAGTGTTGGCAAGTGGAAAAGCATGGAGCTGGCCACCTGGGAATTTTCCAGGCTGTGCTAGAATGGGAGGCTGCCTTCAGTGGGTCTTCCATAGCTCACTGGCAGGTGGTGGGCAAGGCATTTGAGGTTTGTTTCCCTAGGACTCCTACCTCTTATGAAGGTTTGAATTCTTTCACATTACTCAGTCTAATTTTAGGTATTTCCTTACCAAGTTAGGCCGCAGTTCCTTTTTGTGTCAAGTAAGGGGAGTGGGCCCTGGCACCCCCAGGTCTACTCCAGCTCCCGCAGATATGGCTGCCTCATCTCCTGGCTCCCTGGCTGCCAAGGGTCTGGGTTCTAAGAATCTGCTTCCCAAGTGGAGTCTATGATTCTGGTCAGCCAAAGACGAGGGCAGGGCCAGACCAGCCTGCACTTAATACTCGACCAACTGGAGAACCTGCATGGGGATTCCCAGGGGACTCGAGAGATGGTGGCCCAGCCTCCTAGGAAGGGGGCCTACTGAACCCCAGCCCAGGGACAAGCAGAGGTGGATTTTGGACTCTCAGATGCCTCCACTAAACACCCCTGACAACGGGCAAATGCTTATCCTCTGGCCAAGGCCTGCTCCGCTCTCTAGACACCAGCCCATCATGACACTGCCCGGCTTCCCAGTCCAGGGCAGGCTCTCCTTGGACTCCATGAAGTACCATATTCAACTCTTGACAGAAGCAGTGGTGTGGATAATTCATAGCACGAAATAACACCAAAGTCACTTACATCTGTTCTGCAGATGCGTGTGGTGTGTGTGCACATTTTTTCTTCCTTCCTTTTTGGGACCACATTTGCTTTTCTAATTCCGTTTCCCTTTTGGGAGCAGGTACTGGCCAAACTCCGGATGCAAGAGGTCAGCACCATAATCAATCAATTTGAGGGGGACAGCTTTCCCAAGCTTCCAAATTCACCATGCATAATCTGGGTAATCCACCCACAGAAAAATCTAGAATTGGGGTTAATAACTCCAGGATGACCAGGGTGACGAACAAACAGAGCAGCCCCTCTGTTGTTCTCCCTCAGCAGAACTCCCAGGGCTAGATGAGAATTTCAGATGTCATCCAACCCAGTGGTCTCCTAACCTAATTGAGGATTGCAACTGCCTGGGAAACTTTTTAAAATGTACATTCACAGGCTCCCACCAAACCAGTAAAATCACAATTTCCAGGTGTTGTGGCCCAGAAATATGGATTTTATAAAACTGTAGTGATGATCTGGGTGACAAACTGGGTTTGGGAACCTGCTGTACTGAGTCCTCCTAAGTGGGCAGGTCCTCTGCTGGTCTTCTCAACATGCCTATGTCATGTCTTTCTCTCTATTGACATGTTTGAACATGTCTGTTACCTACATCCTCCACATGGTAGCACGCCAACCATCAGCTCCTCTCTGGGCAGCCCAAGACAGATTCGCTAACACGCCAGGACTCCAGGCCTCAGAACAGCTACTCTAGACATGCTGGCTGCTACAACTGTCCTGTCTTCCTGTCTGCATTACAAGAGATGGGTAGTAGGACGCTGTGCCGCCCTGGGTGTAGACGGGGAGAACGTTGGCAGTAAAGCCTGCGCTGCATGGAACGCTTGGTTTAAGGAACTTAAAAATGGTTCTTGGCTTCCAATATGGCGCATCTAGCACCTGCCCCATGGTCAGCACTCAGAACTGTTTGTTGAATGAATTAATGAAAGGGTCATTTGTAGGGCATTGGGGGGGGGAATCAAAGGGTAGGAAGACTCTAGCCAGGGTAGAGGGTGGAGGGTCTTTACCAGATTGTCCAGTTCTGGGTCATCGCTGAAGAAGGGTTTGTGCTCCTGCTCCTGCTGGTGGACAAAGTTCTCGATGTCCACATCAAAGCTTGCGGAGGTGATGCACTCAGAGCCCTGCGTGGCCTGTTCACATTTCTCAAACAGCAGCGTCAGGAGCGGGAAAAGAGGGTGCCTGCGGGGACATTAAGAGCTCACACATGCGCACACACAGAGACCGTGCTGCTAGCTGGGCCAGAAGCCACCAGGCTCCCTCTCCCACATTCCCGTCACTTGTCCCAAGGTCCCACTCCTTGAGAACATTCCCCCATCCCCACGGTCAGTCTAGATGGCGGCATTTCCTGCCCTGGCATGAAGGGTCCAATGACCCAGTTCCTGGGGCTCAGAGGGCTCGTGTCCCTGCTCCCTGGGCGCCCACCTTTTCTCTTTGGTCAGATGAGCTGCATGGCTATTTGGAGAGAGAAGATGGGTTACAACCCTTCAAAGAAGTCAGTGTCCATTTCTGGCTCAGAGTCAACCCAGGAAGGAAATGTGGGAAGTGTCCAGAGAAGTCCTGGACGGGGACGTTACTGTTAGGCAGACCCGTTTTTGGCTGTCTGGAGCCAGCCGAGGGCAGCAGATGTGCACAAACACCGTGTGCTTGCGAGTGTATGCGGGGGATGTGTGTGAGCCCGAACACTCGTCCATACCCGGTGGGCAGATGTCTCCACCTGTCCTGAGCCTGGGGCAGACTCAGTTAGGTCAGACACCCCAAGTACACGTGCAACCTTTCTCTGTGCTTTTCCACTGTTACACCTTTAGCACAAGTGTAACTAAATGATGTTTTGCACCATTATTTGTTCACTGCTTCCTTCAAGACTCTACCTGACCTAATGATCATGGTATCCCTAAGCCTTGCCACATGCTCATGGTAGGCACTTAATAAATATTTGGTGGCTGACTGAATGAATCAATGAAGGGAGAGTGTGAGCGTGCATGTGTGCAGTTCTATGACACATATATGCGAGCTAAAGTGCTTATCTCTGTGGCTTTACAGATCTCAGCTTGGATATCACCAACTTTTGTGAGCTTTGCTCACTGTTCCCCCAACAACTTAAGCTGATAGCCCCTGAGTTTTTTGTTTTCTCATCTGCCTTCCTTACTAGACTGTGAGCTATGTGAGGGCAGGAATCCAGCCCACCTTCTTCATCACTGGGCCCAAAGTCTAGCAAAGGCATGTGGATCTCAATCAGCATCTGTCGAATGTATGTGTGCATGCCTATTTGCATGGATAAGTGCATGACATATTTATTTCTGCAGCACGTGCACATGTGTGTGCATGGGTTGTTGACATTGGACTCTGGAGAGTCCCAGTCCCTTCCACTGTGGTTCCAAATAGGCATCTGCACATTCCTCTCTGGTCTGTCTCCTCACACTTCTGGGACTATAAAATTTAGCTCTTTTCTTTTTGCTTCAGCCCCGCTTACTGGGAGAGGAGGAGGAATGTACTTTGGACCTAATCCCCAGACCTCTGCCAAAGGAGATGCTCTAGCCAGCACTGTTCCATAGAACTTTCTGCAATGATGGGCATGTTCTGCAATCTCCAACGGCCAGCGTGGTAGCCGCTAACCATGTGAGGCCAATGAACACTTGAAATATGGCTATTGTAACAAGGACACTGAACTTTTAATTTTATTAAATTAAATTAAATTTGAATTAATTTAAATTTAAATAGCCACATGTGGCTAGTGGCTACTATATTGGAGAACACAGTAAGTCTTGAAAAGGAAAACAGACCATGCTTTTCCCGCCAGCACACTGAGACTGAACACACTGAGCGAAGGACCAAACATCTAGCTTACATAGCGTTTGCAAAGGGGGTGGGGGAATGCCCGTGAGTCTGTCCCATGCTGGAATTTTAATAATTCTGGGCAAAAAGACAGAAAGCGCTTACCCCCATCCACACTCACACCCACATTTTACAGGTCTTTGTACTGGGGCTCAGGGGTAGTGGGTGATGAAGGGAGATAAATCCCTGTATCAGATGAGCTGCTGCTTGGCAGAGCCTGCCCCTGGGCACTATCTCCCCGACCCCTGTCTTGGAAGCTGATGCAGAAACTCCCGGGCCCCAAGGCTACAGGCTCTGGGTGTGCAGTCTGCGGGAAGAAGGGTCAATATTTAAGGATGGCCTATGTGCAGCCCCAAATTGCCATAAGATCTACTGAGCCCCGGTAGAAAACTAGTAGGGAAAAGAATGGGTTAGCTTAGCCATCCGGCTGAAGACAAAGGGAAACCCGGGTGAAGGGGTTAAACTCCAGTATAAGTCTTCATTTGCAGCCACTAATACTGCAGCATATTATAGTCTAATCTAACCTGATCCCAGTTTAATGCAAGATTCTCCTGGCCCTGAGTGGAATACCAAAGAAAGCCTCGGCGGCTGTAATTTAAGCAGAGCCCTGCAGTGGCTTAGCTGAGGGACAGGAAAGGCAAATTCCAGACGGTGTTATGAATTATTGCGCCTTATGAACCTTCCTACTCTCAACAGATGCCTGCTGCCATTTAAACAGCCACTAGATCAATTAGGAATGAAAGGCACAAATCGACTCTGTACAAGGGCACTAAATTACCAGGAACTAATAATCTGCAGCATCGTGCCAGGTGGTGGGGGCGCAGCCCCCGCCCCAACTGCGCGGCAGCCGCGGTCACCGCACATTCCTTTCTCACTGGTTGGAGGGAGGGGACGGGGTGTATGTGCGCGTGCATGTGCGTGCGTGTGCACGTGTGTGTACCGGGTTGAGTGCAGGGTGTCGAAGAGAGCAAGGGTGAGTGTTGTGTGCTGTCCTGTGTGTTTTCATTGTTAGCACACACACTGTTGTGTTTATGTGGTACACGCACACATATGGGTTGTGTGTATGCAACAGTGGTGCCAAATTTGTGTGCTGTGAACATAGTGTGTGCATGTGCTCTGTGTTAGCTGTATGCAATATGTGTGCTGGGATGGTGTGTTCTGTGCACACAGAGCGAGTGGCATGTGGGCTGGGGAAGAGGGATCTGCCGTGGCACTAGGGTTGGGTGGGGAGAGGAGGGTGGCTCCTCTGCTTCTGTCCTTGCCCCTGCAGGGAGGAGCAGCTTTTCTTAGAGCAGTCAAGGAAGGCCTCTCTGAGGAGGTGACATTTACGTTAAGCCTCAAATGATGAGGCACTGTCGCAAAGAGCTGAGGGAGAGGCATTCCAAGCAGGAGAGAAAGCGGATCGCTTGAGACAGAACATGAGCCTGGCATATTTCTGGAGCCAAATCTAGCTAGCTGAGTGTGGCGCAGCCAGGTAGGCAGGAGGAGAATGAAGGAGATGAGGCTGAAAAGGCAGCAGGGGTCAGGTCAGGAGATGCTCACAGGCCTCAGACAGAGGTGGGCTTGGGGGTGTGGGGGGTGGGCATTGTCATGTACGCTGGGGAACCACGTGCACCTTCTATGCAGAGCCTCAGCATGGTTTTATAAACCTCGTTCACTCCCAGGTGCCAGATGTCCCTAGAACAAGTACATGTGTGTTGACGGGTGCATATCTGGGGCTCCTGCTATCTCTCAGAAGAAGGGAACATGCTGCCCATCCTTCCCTCCAAGTTAAGTGGCGTCCATGGGGTACAGGGCAGACTTCGCCGGTGCAGGTCTGGGCCCCTCTCACCAGCTCCCCCAGCCTGAGGCTTGGGCAGTCGGGGTGGGAGGGCAGTGAGCACCGCCAGCTGCCAGAGCAACTTCTCATGCCCCATCCTCCCCAGCCTCCTGCTTCCTCCCACCCATCCGGGAGCCCTGTCCGTCTCACTGAGCTCAGGTGGGGTCTCATCTAACCCACAGCCTTTCCAATGAAGCACGGCCACGCCCAGTGGGGCTGCCTGTGGTTCCCATGCTCTATCCACTTGATACACCTGCCACCTGCTGCATTGAATGCAGGGACGGCTGAGACACCGTGCTGCCTGGAAGAACTGGATTTCCCAGTGACTCAGCTGAGTTCTGGGGCTGCAGCACAGGCCTGGGCTTCTCTAAGGCTGTGTCCAGCCCAGTTATGGGAGAGTCCCCTGCCCTTCCTCAGGTGCCCAGTCTGTGACTGCCTAAGGGCTGACCTATATTTTCTAAGCTACCTTCCAACATCACCCCATAAAGCAGGCGGTGAGGCCAGCAGCCACCATCAAGAGGTCCTCTCCAGCAGCTTTAGCTGCCACCTGAATAGGGCAGTGTCCACAAGAGCTGGCTTCTAAGCCACTTGGGACATAAGTGGCCCTATCCAAGCCAGGGATGGGGTAAGGAGGAGGATTTCCATTTAGATGTGGGATCTTGGCCTTCCCTGAGCCTCAGTTTGTCCATCTAGAAAATGGTTTTTAAGGAGCTCTTCTTCCCGCTGTCCAGCTCTCTTCCCCTGAGGAGCCACATCCTTCAGGGGCCTCGAGCAGGGATGTGGAAATCCAGGCCCCAGAAGACGATGAACAAGATATGAGAGATGGTCATTAGACTTTATTTC